GAAAGTAACCCATTTTCACACACCTTTTAAACCAATACAGTCCAAAGGGAGAAGAGTTCCACTCCACTTACTCGCGGGAGTGAACGAAGAGTTAAAAAGAATGGAAAAAGAAGGTCACATAAAAAAATTAGAGAAATGCGACGAAGATTGTTTCATCAGCCCAATTGTAATCACTCGGAAAAAGGATACTTCAATAAAACTGGCACTTGACTCTAAGCTTTTAAATGATCAAATTTTTAAAATTAAGTATCAAATGCCAAATATCCATGAACTGATTGATAACGTGGCGCTCCAAATTTCAGAAAAATCCAACGGGCGAGTGTGGTTCAGTAATTTAGACCTGAAAAACGCCTATAGTCAACTTAAACAATGCAATCAAACAAGTAAACAGTGCAATTTTAGCAGAGTAGGCGGCAAAACGACCGGAACGGATCGATTTCTAACGGGATTTTACGGATTAGGAGACATGCCAATGACCAATGAATTCCAACGGGTCATGGACTCACCGTTGAAAAATATCCCGTTTACAAATTGTTATATAGACGACATCCTGGTAGCCTCGCGTGGATCCCAAATCAAAAGTGTACAAAATTTTATCAATATTAGATAAGAAAAACATGGCAGTTAAATGGGGGAAATGCGCATTTTTTAAATCTGACATCGAATGGCATGGCTTCAAGATCTCAGGCGATGGATTACGACCGTTGGTCGGTAAAGCCGACGCAAAAAAAAATTTGCCAACCCCGAAGAATATTTCTGAACTTCGTTCATTTTTCGGCTCGATAAACCAATATGTAAAACTCGTCCCTAACTTATCGACATTGAGCTCCCCTCTCCGACCTCTTCTAAACAAAAGATCGTTATACAAATGGGATACTAGCCATTCAATAGCGTTTGAGAAGTTAAAAACGAATATTGTAAATATTGCAGAAAACAGCCATTTCGATATAAAAGAGATGACAAGACTGAAAACAGACACTTCACATAGCGGACTAGGGGCAACCCTAGAACAATTACAGGATGACCAGTGGAAAACAATCGCGTTTGCATCCAGATTTTTAAACAACCATGAAATGAAATATTCTACCAACGAATTAGAGTTGCTGGGAGTCGTATAGGCTACAAAACATTTCAAAACTACCTGTACGGAACAGAATTCCAAATAGTAACTGATCACAAAGCATTACTATCAGCACTTTCGGCAAATCATGGAAACAAAACGATGCATAGCCGATTGACCCGTTGAGTAAACAGACTCTTACCATTCAATTTTAAAGTTTCCACATTTACCAGGAAAGGACATGTGCTTTACTGACCTTTTATCTAGACTTCCTTCGGGCAAAGCCCTTCCAATTTCGCATTATGACGACGAATTTGTAGTCGCTTCAATCAACAAAATTCAGAACATTTTATCGACTAATCAAGATTCTAAAATACTTAATGTAAATTCTGTAGATAGACCAGCGGTCGCTGTAAATACTAATTCAAGAGTTAATACAATCCCATCGGGAAACAAAAATTCAAGCGACGTGATTGGTCAGAATCGGTTGAATAGCTCTTTAGCTTTACTCAATCTCAAGATTATTGCTGCTATCATATCTTGTATCGCTCAGTCGATAAAAATTTGCCACAATAACCACTCTAGGACAAAAAATTGCACTACAATTTGCCAACCAGTCGATAATTCTAAATTTAATTTTAGAAGTATTACCTTTTCGGACAACGTCCTTTTACATTTCTTAGTACTAAACAGACACTCCATACCATCTAGCAAAAAAAAACCAGAACTCCCAATGGACAAAGTGAACGAACCCCTTTTGATCATTCCCGAAGAACATAATATCTTCCTCAAATTCAGAGGAGACAGACTTCCACCCGATCACGCAGACCTCTTAAGAAGATATAAGGCCGACCTGAATTTACCGAATTCCCCAATTCGCCCGGAAAACCACTGTTCGAAGAAATTTCTTCAGATCGTGACTAGAGAAGGCAAGGTGCTGTGAGGTTTGATAGAGACGATAAAGAGGAACCGACCTACGGGCATACACGGGACTTACATGAAGAACTACACCAAAGACCTACACGTGAAGGATGAGCTACTCTTTTTAGACAATAAACTAGTCGTCCCAGCTACCATCAGGGGAACTTTTAATTCGATGCTACATGAGACTCACTCAGGACAGTTTAGGATGAAATCCCTCGCCGAAAATTTGTGGTGGCCGCATATTTACCGGGAATTTTATCATCACGGGAGAACATGTAGCCAATGTCTAAAAGCGGGTAAGAACATTAAAGTGTTACTATGCACCCATAATATTTCGAAACTCCCGAAGTTGACATTCGCGAACGAAGAAATTAATTTGGAATTTGCGGGACCGTTGGACGCGGGCTGTGTTAACAACAAATACATTCTTCTTTGCATTGACCGTTACACTAAGTTTCCTTCGGCCAAGATCGTCAATGACACCTCTACAAGAAACGTAATTTCATTTCTAAACGATTACTGTCACCTCCACGGATTTCCCAAGAAAAATTAGATTCGACCATGGGTCATGCTTCTTATCACATGATTTCTGCGATAAATTTAATATAGAAATTATTTACTGCTTTGTCGGAGACCACAGATCCAATGGGCTAGTGGAAAGACTAGTGTACACAATTAAATCGAAAATACTGGCAATGTCATTCGAAGTACCCAAGCCATCTCTAAACGATTCGATCGAGAAAATCATCTGGAATCTGAGAATATCAAAACAAACTGCGATCGGCTGTACTCCGTTTGAAAAGCATTTTAATAGAGTACCGAACACTAGGTGGAAAAATCTTATGTCCAATATTGATCCTTTAGATAAAGGTAAGGCTATAATGTCCAAAGAGCGGGTCACTAACTGGGAACTACACGACGGAGCAGAAGATGGCTATTTGGACGAGGAAAAGGACAGCACGTCGGACCCAGAAGAAAACATGCCACTAGCTAGGACTTTCAGCCTACACACAACCCCGGACGTCACTATCCGAACTTCAGATCCACTGGCAAAAAGAAAAGCAGTAACTGGAGGTAACTTATATAGAAAGGTGACTAACAGGAAAAATAGGGACCCTTATTTTAATCTGGTTAAGAAGGATATCATCGATTCTTCAGAGCACACAGTTACTCTCGACAATGGTCACGTTTTAGGTAAATCGGATCTGGCTATAAAAGGAAAATTACTCCCAGGGCCCAAAAAGATAATAGTGAATCAGACACCCACTGGGCATAATCTTCATACTCATTCGAGTTTAGCTGGGAAAAGGAAACTCTCTCCACCGAAGAAAGCTGGATCGACACCAGCTGGTCACTCGAGTCAAGCCACCCCGAGAATGGAGAACACCAGAGCAGGGACTAGCGCACCGACCGCGAGCACGGCCACTCAAGACTCTCCAAGATTTTCTTCAGGTTCATCTTCCTTAAATCTAGATTCGTGGGACGCGATAATCGAGGATTACTTTGACGATGTGACCAATAATAACGTACCTCAAAATCTCCATACCGAGTCTAATCAGGGCTTAAGTATTACAGGTCCTGTCGAATACCTACTACTGAGCTCAGAAAGGACAGTGAACAACGACCCACGGGAGATTGTTGTTATCCACGACATGAATACTACTGAAGGATCACAGGACAATCCAATTATGGTAGACAGTATTCCGGAACAGACGATCAGCGTGACTCCAAAGACCCGAAACTCTAGACCACGCAGAAATGTGGGCCCCTCACAGTTTTACGGAAATAGGAGATTTATAGACGCGGTACAAGAAAAAGACGACCTAGGGGCGTCAACTACCTTATTCTCTCCGGCACCGGACTCCCACAGTTCTACTTTCTCGGTCAACTCTCCTTCTGACCTTTTGACTCCATTAGTGGAGGCGCCTTCCACACATATTCTCGTCGCAGAAACTACGTTGTCCTGGTCTTCAAGGAACTCCCTCCCGACGGTCAGACTTGCAACATCTACCACGAAGACTCACTTTCACGAGAATTCTTCGGACTCAAACTTAACTCAGCCGACCTCAAAGGACCCCACGCTAGAGGTGGACAACTATAGCGAAATCTCATCGACTATAGATTCGGAAGTGAGGGCTAAATTGGATGAGTTTGAGGACCAATTCTTGTGATCGACATATCAATTCAAACTTAACAAAACAATTCTGTAATCCATATTTTACCGCCAGACTTTTTAATTTTTACCTGTAGATACAATTGTACATGTTAATGTACATGTTGTGGATTAGTTTTATTTAGTTAGTTACCGTATTCTGTAAATTTTGTAATTCTGTATAGCCACCCTGTACATTGTTACATTCTCTTTCAATTGTGGATTTTATTTTGCTTCTGTATATTTACCCTCTGGGCGCAGTTTGTAAAATTCTTTCATTTTCGGAGGGGGAAAAAGGGTGTATATAGAGTTATATAGTTAGTTTGCAGTTTCAGTTTTTTTCCCGGTGGGAAATGTTGTGATTTGTTTTTAGTATCTTATAATGACCTTCGGTATTTTAATTAATACCAGTTTAGTTACGACCATCGGTCGATATGAATGGAAGTTCAGTTGTCCTTTTTAACGTTCTTAATTCAACTACTTCCTTTTAACGTTTTAACCGTTAAGCTTGTGTACATATTTTGTACATATAGAACCATAGAATTAGAATAGTTTATTAAAACCCGATAACGAGCTTATTGGAGAAAAAACGCCAAAGTGAAAAACTTTTGGAAAAATTTAAAATTAAGAAAAAAACAGAACATAATGGATCTTGATAATGATACGCATGATACTGAAAAATGTATTTGTTTTTGGTTCTCATCATGGGTGTTTTGTTTCCCAATATCATATTGAGAAAAAAACATGTCGCAAACTAGAATACGTTATGTTCTAAGGAATTATCAACCAATCACACTTCAGTTTCTCACTGGGATGCTCGAGGGCATGTATAAGATAGAATAACCCCCTTGTTTTTCGTTTCAGTCAAGAGGGGTGTGGATCCCAATCTGTCGGATGAAAGTGGGTGCACTCCCCTCATCATGTGTTGTCGGGTCGGCAACGACATCGGCACTGAGATCCTCGTCAAGTGCTACAGACGCCTCGGACTGGACGTGGACCACGAGGATGGCAACGGAATGACCGCACTTATGACCGCACTTAAACAGGGGTATGTGTGAATACAAGCGATGAAGGGAGAGGGGAGGGGGAGGAAGGCGGTGAGGGCGGGTGGGTTAACGAGGATTTGATTAGTGGAAAGTTTATTGCAGTTGCTGAAATCAAAAAAAATCAACGAAATCAAAAAACAGTAGACCTAGTCAGCAATTACATGTTGAAATAGATGGATATCTCGCGTTTGAACTTCAACGTCCCATCCCGGGTTGACAAAAAAATGCTTATCATACAATTTCAATATATGAAAAAAATGCTTGTCATACTCTTTCATAAAATTTCATAGAGTAAAAGTGTATGTATGAAAATAGCAAAATAAGCATTTTTTTCATATATGAAATTGTATGATAAGCATTTTTTCCATAATTGAAATTTCGAAAAAAAAATTTTCGAATTTTTGTGTTTCAACCGAAACACTAGCCAAGGATTATTTGTCATGAGAAAACCCAGAGTGTAACTGGCAGTTACCACAGAGATGAACGGCATTAGTGGTTTTAGCCATAAAAGTTAATTATAAAAATTTCACATGAAAATTTATACCAAAAAAGTAAGTTTTTGAAAATGGCTTGATAATTTCTAGCTTGAAAATTATGATGGGTGAGAAAAAAGGCCTGTTTTTTACAAATTTATTTTTATCTTAGCAAATGAAACAAAAGATAAAAATTTTGTTTTCAAAAAAAAACATTTTCATGTAATTTTTGGGTTTTTTGGGTGAGAAACTCATCCTGGACTACGTTATAAACACAAAAATGTCAAATTTTGCATGCAATTTTTTTTTCGTAAATTTATATTTTAGCACAAATAAAAATTTGCACCCAAAAAAGGGATTAAAAATTTTTTACCTCAAATTTTTATTTTTGTTTATGAAAAAAACGCATATCATACAATTTTTATTTATAAAACCTTTATGATAAGCATTTTTCTGACCGAAATAAAATTTATGTTTCTGATTGTCAATTTGCCCTCTATCATAGATATACTTATCTAAATCTATTTATACTTACCCAGACACGTTTTTTGGTGATTTTTGAAATTTTTATTTTTTCTACGACGAAATGACTATTTTATCATACAATTTTTTCCATAGACTTCATATATGAAACTGTATGATAAGCATTTTTTGTCTATGGACGTCAACCCGGGATATCTGGTGATGAAATTGTGCGTCCCAAACAACTTTTTCTTGAAAAAAAAAGTTTTTCTAATTATCTCTTTGCCCAAGGCTGAAAGTTTTGCTCAAGTTATTATGATATCAATTTTTTGATTTTCAATAAAAAATGAAGACACTTATTCAGTTCCTGTGGTTTTTGTTTTTGTTTTTTTTGTTTTGGAAAAAAAATGCCAAAAAAATCTTAGCATGCACATTAAATTTTGGCGGCTTGACGTTTGATGTTTTCTTTAATTGAAGCTAAGAATATGATGAAAGGATGGCAATTTACACTCTCAAATAATAATGTGCATATGGAAATGGATTGTAATTTTTCAGGACAAAAAAATAAATATCGACCGACTTTTCTCAATAATTTCAAAAAAAAAAGATTCTTCAATTACAAAATACAAGATTCTTCAATTACTAAATACAGGTGAAGTTTTTGTTTAAACTCGAAACTAAAATGCGGCATTGGTGACTATCGAGAGCCTGCTCCGCTTTCCTTCAATGTCTTTACATTCGGTACGAGAGAAATAGCACGCGTAAATTAGTGTTAGTTGCTAATCTATATAATCATTAAATACATTTTGAAAAACACTTCTTGCCGTTTTCTTTATATTACGCGAGTTTTCTGTTTTGCCAGTTGGCGTTTTAAGCAACTGTCTGTCGACTATGCACTAAGAATCTGAAAATTGAAAAAATAATTTAGTGTAAGTCGCAGATCAAGAAAACAATTTAAATTGAGCCCCCACACCCGCTAAAACTCAGTGAATAGCTTGCTGAGACTTAAACGAAAAAATTTTAACTTCCAAAAGCTTTTTGGAACAAAAATGTGCAATCACTAAAGAAGAAAAATTAAGAAAATAACTTTTAAAACTAAAGTGAATTTTTTTTTCATCTGAGCGGTTTTTAATTTTTCTTTCTACTCAAAGCAGGCCTCAAAAGTGGGACAAGGCGATCAATCATCGTAAGACCTTTGCATTGTAATTTGATTTATATTTTAAAAATCCACTCGAAAATTTTGCTTTGCAGATAAATTTAGATCGAACTGTCACTCTACATTTTATGAGTTAAGGTTAGTGAAAGCATTCAAAATATTATCTTTGTACTTTAAACAATTATTAGTTCTGAAATACATTTGTATTTTTCCGTACACTAACAAAAGCAACAAAAACTCTACATTCAGATATCAAACGAAGCTTTGCATCCTTCACGATATAAACTTGAAGGAAAAAAATGAAAAAAATATATTAAATGTTTATTCAGTTACATCGCAAAACCGAATAGAGATTCTACTTTTGAAATTATTGCTGGTGACCTAAAAGATTTAAAAAAGATCGAAATTAACTTGAGTGCTCTCTCTTTGTTTTATAGCAGAGTTAAAACTCTATTGAGAGTATTATTTGTTGCAAAAATAATCCAAAAAAGGAAACAAAACTACTGTATTTCGAAAATTTAATGTTTTAAAAAGCATCGTCAATTGGTGAATTCAATTGTCCAATCTCAAGCCAACAGTTTTCAAATCAGCGTTAAGCAAGTTTTGAGAGAGTAAACCCAAGCAAAAACTTTGTTTTTGTCTTCTTTGAAGATTTTATTAACCATTATCAAAAAAAAATCTAAAAAGGCCTGATTGGGACTCGAAAAACCCGCACTGCAGTTCCATCAAAAAGAATCGACGATGGAATTTGAATTTTGGTGTCAGTGTCTATAAAAAGGAAAAATAAGCAATCATAGTTCTTTAAAAATGACTTTTATTACTATTAATTAAAAAAAAATTTAATTCATTGAAAATCATTTGCAATCGATTTGTTTCCAATAATTGTGATTTCAATGCACTCAAAATCATTTGCGAGTTCCAAACCAAAAGGTTGGTTCCCTGTTGCTAAAATTCATTTTGTTTTAGCGCAACTTTGATTTTTGTTACTCATTTTATGTTACTCCAGGTTGTTCTTTTCAAGCATTTTTCGAAAATTAGTTTTAAAATTTTACGGTAGCTATTATCCAGAATTAATATAGTGAAATTTTCTACAAATTGCTCAAAAACCTTATTTTCGACTGAGTCAAAATTCTCCAAAAAGTGCCTAAAAACTTTCAAAAATTTTTGCCTGCGGCACAGAAAGCTTGGCTAAAACAGGGTTTAAGAGATCTCGAAAAATCAATTCGGTCGACCTGAAAAAAAAGGACGACAAATTTTTTCGAAAATTTTCGAAATTATTTTGAAAATCCGCCCCCCGCCCCTCGAGAAAATCCTAGATCCGCCCCTGATTATAATCAATTTAATAATCCTTTTAATTGTCTGAGGGCAACATGGTGATCGATTAGATTGATAATATTTTAGACCATAAGAATCAATTATATATAATTTCTTTTCACTTTTCTTAGATGCGGGTACTAACCGGGCTGATCTACGTACACCATCTGTGCTGTATCATATGTTGTGAAATAAGTTTAAATATCAATCAAACTGAAAAGACACTCACTCATCTCACTTAAAAATCACCTGAACAACTTTATAACAGGTGAAAAAATCAAGTACACATTTGCAAAACCCTGGCGAGTCTCTAGGTTAATGAGACAGCACATATATGGTTTCTCATGAGATGCAGCGAAATAAAACAAGAGAAGACTTTTTACAACATGTTTTTTTTGTAGTTTTTTGGAAGTTGAAATAACATTTTTTAACACAAAAACAATCTGTTCAGTGTTTTGAGTTAACTGATATGTACCATTAAGGTTATGGTAGACCAGTAAGACAATACTATTAAGATAATTGTTATGATCATCAAGATTTACCCAACACCATGCTGCTGTAAAAGTTTCGACAAACAATTGGCAGAAAAACTTAAGTCCAAAAATATACTCAATGCAGAAATTGGAACTTTGATGCTTTCACTGCAAGTCGGCAGGTGTAAAAAATCATACAAAAAATCGAGATTAGATTCAAATTTTTTCAAACATTTTTTTTTGTAAATTTAGTTTTGATAACACTAATGCAGGCGATATTTCTACAGCAATGAACTGGTCATGTTCTGCTATGCAGTTAGATGGTTTGAGTAAGGTTAGTGTTTTTTCCCCGCAAAATGAGTGAGTTTTTGATTATTAATGATGTGAATGTGTCATTAGGTACCACGAATGTGCCCGTGTTCTGGTACACCTGGGCAAGGCTTCTCTGACGAAGAAGGCACAGCAGAAGGAGGGATGTATGGACCCCATAGAGTGGGCACTCAGAAATGGATATTCACAGGTGAGTCACACTAGTGTCGATATACTTCACCAGCAATTAGAACCAAAGTTTAATACGTTTTTCAAGCCAACCACATTATATTTTACATCAGAGCTTATCCATTCTGTGTTCAAATAGACAAAGAGATTAATGATAAACCGTATTGTTTCAAACGCAATTGTTCTCCAAACTTATTGTAGAGTATTTGGAAAAAACTACAGCAGAAGTTCTTTCTCAAAGACCGGCCGCCAAAAACAAAACTGTTTCAGAATGGGAAGATTACTCCTTCTAATTACTTTCTCGCAGTGCGAACTGTCAGCTGCAAATAAGGTTTTGTGCTTCAGGAGGAGATTGACTCTATAGTGCAGAAACATGCAGTGGATGACTTGTTGGCAGTCAGAGACCAGCTGAATGTGGCCAGGACTCTCTCCAACTTCGACAGCGACCTCTCAGCCACAGACGAGACAGACACCGACAACTGACACACGTCACGACAGCTGGACAAACACTGAACGAACAGTGAACAAATCTTTATCAATCAAACTCATTTCAGTCAGATCAATTCTTTCTGTCGAATGGTACAGTTCTCATAGTTTAAAATTTAGGCGCTTTTGTGACTAGCAATTTTTGAAGGCCCTTGGAAAACCGAATGATTCGCCAGTCAAAGGATTTACGTCCCCTTTCATACAACTTCACATCATATTTTTGATGTCACCCATAGAGCAAAAATGTCAATGAGTTTTTCGCTTAGGACTGCTCGGGATGTTTTTACCGTCGCCCGATGTTTTTAGATGTAAACATTTACCGTCACCCGAATTGGTTAATAAAGGTACGAAAAATGTTTCAATTTTTGCGAAATTTTCGGTCAACCGGTTTTGTTTCGACCAGTGAATTGAGAACTTTACAATTAGGCATTTTGTTGATCAATTAGGTTATGAAAAAAATTGAAGTGCTGTTAAGTACATGACTAAAATTGCTTTCTTTTGTAGTAGATGTTCAATCCTTATTCCCATTATTAGTTTTTCGCGAGAATTGTTCTATTCCCCATGATTTTATATCAATTTAACAATCTTACATTTTTTTATTTTAAACTATACTGATTCGGTTCCAACCTGGATCTTTAGATTATTTTTTGTTCCAATTGTTTCACGAAGCTAGAAGAATATAAATTGAGGTATCAGTTTCATGCCAAAGCTTTTTATGCAGCAAAACATCCGCTTGTTTTGGAATCTTGCAACCGGTGTAGTTTGGATTACGCTTTTTTCTACTGAGTCCAAAAAATAGTTTCCACAATTTATTTTTATTGATTTTATTTCAGCCTTCAATTTTTTTGATTTCGCGACAATTGTGATTGCGTTATCTTGAATGATTTTTACTGCGGTTTAAAATTGATTAGATCAGACAAAATTCAAACCATTAAAAATCACTAGTTAGCACTAAAAATTATCAGGGCTTAGTCTTTATCTCCATATTGTAATGAAAATGCATCTCTTTTCCGTTGAAAGTAATTAATTTGAATTTAATTTCTAGCGGTTAAACATTTGTTTATCAACCAGTTAATAGAGCCATAATTGAGCATAACTTGACACTGAAGCAAAAACAGCCGTATCAGAACACTAACGTCAACATTATATTTAATAAATAATGCGGCTTTTGTCTGTGGTAAAACCCAACAGCAAAACGCGTTGCTTTACTTATGACACAAGAATTGCAAAGAAATAATTATTTCAAACCACCACAAACACAGCCAGGAGTTCTGACTGAGCCTCAAGACAGTACGAGACTGATCGTATCAGTGCGAAGCCCTGACTGTTTCAACTGCTTTTTAAGATCTATGCAGCAGTAATAACATTAAAAAATCAAATGTTATAAAAAAAGGAAAAAAAAATCTTTTAAATTGGGATTTTTTTTTGAGAAAAATAACCCACACACGCCATAAAAAGTACAAATTGACAAACATCGCTCCTAGTAACAAATCAAATATGGCAAATAAGCTTTTCTCAATAATTTTGGATTGATTTCCAAGATTGATTAAATCTGATTAAAAGCATGAAATATAGCGCGCGTTAATTGTCCCAAATTGGCCGAAATGGCACTCTTTAGACCCCAATAGTTTTACAAAAAATGATAACAATAGAAACATTTTTTAAAATTTAAGCTCAAGACAACAATAATTTTCGAATGATAAAAAAAACTCCGTTAAGAAAGGCTAATTAAAAAGCCAAAAACTGACTGAAAAAACCACCCCGAGCACAAATAGTCCGTTACTTTCGTTACGCAAGTCAGAACAATACCCAGTATAATCGATAATCCAGCGGCCAAGCTTTCAGTGTTATCGCAGCTTTGTGCAGTTTTGAAGTAAGCCTTCCATAGGAACAAAAAGGCAAAACCACTGCAAGTGATTTTAGCGATTCACCTCAAATCGCATTCATAGCAAAATCTGACTTTGACAGAGTACTTAAAATTTGTACCTTGCTTTTTGACCAATTAGACATATTACTCAAAAAATAGGCAGTTTTTAGCTTCCCCAGGTTTAATTTTTTACTCAGCGTAAAAAAGTGCTTATTAGTAATTTAAGAGAGCAATTTATTTTATTGGAGAAATCGCACCAGAAATGTTCTGGTTTAGTTTAATCAGTCTTTCTTAAATGCTTTTTGTCTAGATCAAAAACTGAATTAGATGTCTTTTGTTTTTTATATGACAAAACGCTTTTCGCAAACCTTTAGAGATATATTTAGAAAAAAAACAACAAAACTCACGCTCAAATCGCTTTGTTTTTAAAATGATCGCGGCTTCAAAGTTGTAATTGTCCCAGACGTCAAGTCTGCGTTCTTTTCGCCAACCAGAATTTCATCTTTTAAACCTCCTCAAAACTCGAAGCGAAAAACGAAAAGCATGTAGAAATTTTGTTGGTTTTGGGTACATGTTTCATCGAATTAAATTGAATTTTTCGTCCAGTTTGAATCGATCCTTCCATTTTTTCACAAGAGTCACAAGCCTTAGCAGTTAATTCACCGAGCTTAAAAAGTTACCTTTCTTGCTTGGATAGTTCAAAAATCATCTTGCATTTTTTGTTTTGGATTTAAATCTACAGATAATAATATGACAACTAACCTTCAATTTAGGGCAGCTCTGATGGCAAAGAACGTTCAGCAAAATCTAACGCTAGAGAAGCAGAAAAAAAACAAATTTAGGTTTGTTAGCAGACACAAAATACTTAGTTCATCAAATGTCCAAAATCACACGACACACTTTTTAAGTAACTTTTTTTCTTTACTGGATTCTCAAACAAACAGATTTTTATCTTTCCCACATTTTGCTTCAATTACTTTTTTCGAGCAAATTTAAAGCGTTTTTGAGTTAATCTTGTCTAGCCGGTTGCTGAATTACCGAGAAAAAATCCGAGCTTATCAGTGCATGAAAACTAAAATGAAAAGTTGGTGTATCCGGTTGCGGTGGAAGAAGCATAAAAAGTTCCGACTCCGACCACATGAAATAAACTATTGTTTCTATTTTATACCGTTTCTTTTTATGCGTAGCTTGATGAGAGCAAAACTTCAAGTTATAGCAAAACATACCATGATGGACTACATTTGACTTTTGAAAAAAATAAAGAAAAAAGAAAGTGAAAAATGATTCAAAAAGGTTTTTCTTCTTTTTTTTTGCAGATTTTTTTCGAGTTTTCAAAATTCTTTGTTTAAGAAAATGGCGCCATAAGAATTTTTTTGCAGGCTGGATTTAAGTTTTGGTTTTTAGTCTAATTTTGCAAGCGCGAGTTATGTTTGCGAAATAAAATAAAGTCGATTAGATAAAATGCAAAAAAAACTTAGTTGTGATTCTGCAGAAAAATCTGATAGCGCCATTTTGCTATACAAAGAATTTATTTCTCTCAACACCGACCTTCAAAGTCTAGGTTTATTCAAAATCAGAATAAATCACCCAAGTAGTAAAAGTCTCCCTTTCGACTAACTCTACCACGACACAATTTTGTTGAGTCTCAGTTACATTGCAGCCACTTTTTAGCAAAAAAAAACAGAATTTCCAAAAAAACCTGAAAACTTAGCCAACAGACAATTGGAAAATAGTCAGCAATCACATGTAGACAAAAAAATATTGACTTGTTTTTTTTCGAAAAAAAATCTCACTTTTCGAACCTTCAAGAAACAAAATTGGCCTGAAAGGTCTTCGAGTTTTCAAAACAACTCATGTTTGACATTTTTCCGATAAAACTACGTATTGATCCTGCTTTTTCAAATTGGGTTAGTTTCATCGGAAAAATGTCACATAAGTTGTTTCAAAAACTCAAAGAGCTTTCCGGCCATTTTTTTCATTTAAGTTCGAAAAATGAGATTTTTTTTCGAAAAAAAGAAGTCAGTATTTTTTGTCTGCATGTAATTGCTGACTATTTTCCAATTATATGTTGCCTTAGTTTTCTGTTTTTTTTTTAAATCTGTTTTTTGTTTGCTAAAAAGTGGCCGCAATGCAACTGAGACTCAACGAAAATGTGTCGTGGTAGAGTTTTTATTTAGTTGGGAAATTTGAAACTAACTTGCACTTCCGAAACTAAAAATCGATCACGTTTTTGGTGACCTTTACACTTCCGCTGTTCAATAGTGGATTTTGCCTTCCTTTTAGCAAAGGAAAAGAACTGCACTTAAGAAAAAAATCAAACCCCTAAAAAATCTAGGGAATTTTCTTAAAAAGAAAATAAATAATCATCGCGACCTGTAAAACAGCCTGCAATACGTTCACCGACTTTTACTTGGGTTATTTTCATGAGTTAGTTATTACGTCACCGAAAAACTACCAATTTCAAGTGTTTTTGAATCGCATTTTTGATAACTTGCGACACCACACAAGAGCATTGCTAGCTGGCAGAAAATGAAACGAAAGCCGCCTAATGCAACCGAACCGGCAAAGAATTGGTAAACAATCATTGCGCCGAAAGCAAAATTGTTGTCATAAAACTCTGCTAATCTTTAATTTCTTTAATTTTACGCCCCTTCCGATTACGCAAAAATAAAAAAACGTTTGACAAAACAAGCCGAAATCTTTCAGGCCGTGTGAAGCTTTGTGAGCAAAAAATAAAGAAAGAAGGTTATACAAAATCAGGGGCCAGCAGATCTACAAAAAAACAAGAAAAAAGCAAAAATTATTTCTATTATAATGGATTGCTTTTGGTACAAAAAAATCAGTGCAGGTAAGGTGAAAAAACAGCGACAATGTCGACAATTTTTTGAAAAAAAATTTAGTTTAAACAAACAACAAGTGCTGACCGGACTCGAATCCAAAACTTTTGCCATTCCAGACGTGGTCGTTGCATCTAGACTAAGTGCGAAAGAGATAAAGAAAATTTTGAATATATTAAAAATCGAGATGAAAATTGAGTCAAGTGATTTTTTAAGCAAGTTGTTTACCAAAAAAAATTCTATATTCCGATTTTATAACGCTTGGTAGTCGCAAGCCAAGCAAATTATTACGAGAAAATTGGATTTTTAAGTTTGTTAGTTTTTTCCCAGTTTTTTCTCGAAGTTAACATGAGACTCACGAAAAATTACTTATATTTCTTATTAAAACATAGCTAACTGACAGTTGGAAAAGAGTCATACGCAAAAAAAAACAGAAAAAAATGGATGCCCTTAGAAGTTTTCGGAATTCTAGAACAATTTATGATT